GCGTGGCCCCGGGGCGCGCGCCCCCCCCCCCCCCCCGGCCTCCCTCGAGTGCAGGGAGGTCAGGCAGCAAGGTCCCAGCCCCACAGTAGGGGCAGAGCTTGGGGCGAAGGCTCAAGCGCCCCTTTTCTCCCCTCTGCAGTAGAAGTAGGCGTCTGACACACATTCTAGTGGCAGGGGGACTGCTCTGAGGTCCTCTCACAGTAAATAAGGATTGTGCATGAATAATACATAATAAAGCACATGCAATCTCTGTCAACTGCCACGGTTATAAATAATATAAATTAATAGCAGTATTAATAAACATTCAGAAGGAGAGATGATTCATTTAAATAGAAAGGACAGTTGAGTTTAGGGATATTCATCCTGAGGTGCCTTATGAGCTAGTTAAGTAACTACAGGCAGTCCCCGGTTACGTACAAGATAGGGACTGTAGGTTTGTTCTTAAGCTGAATTTATATGTAAGTTGGAACTGGTACATATTGTAGGGGAAACTCTAGCCAAACATTTCTCCACAGCTCAGTTTTATTCTCCCACACCTCAGTCCTTTATTCTCAAGCTGAGGTGTCTGCTGAGAAAAGCCGCTCCGCGTCTCCCTGGTCTGCTGGGGGGGGGGCGGCGCTAGCTTCGCGTCTCCCTGGTCTGCTGGGGGGAAGCAGCTAGTGCGGGGTTGCCTCACCCCGTTCGTAAGTAGGGATCCGATGTAAGTCGGATCCATGTATCCCAGGGACTGCCTGTACATTGAAAGGCATCTGAGGAAAGAGGATTGCAACATGATCTAATTGGGGATGATTATGAAAGCCTGTAGATAGTGATTATATGCAGTGATGACTCCACTATGGGCAATTGCAATAGCACATTATCAAGGCCCTTCATTTTCCGTTTTTATTTTATATTTTCCCAGAAATGTATCACTGTTGGTTACAAAAATTAAAAAAAGCGGCGAGGAGTCCTGTGGCACCTTATAGACTAACTGAAGTGTAGGAGCATAAGCTTTCATGGGCAAAGACCCACTTCGTCAGATGCATGTAGTGGAAATTTCCAGAGGCAGGAATAAATATGCAGGCCAGGATCAGGCTGGAGATGATGAGGTGATCCAATCAAGGAGGATGAGGCCCACTTCTAGCAGCTGATCTGGAGGTGTGAATTCCAAGAGAATAGAAGCTGCTTTTGTAGTTAGCAAGCCATTCACAGTCTTTGTTTAATCCAGAGTTGATTGTGTCAAACTTAAAGATGAACTGTAGCTCAGCAGTTTCTCTTTGAAGTCTGGTCCTGAAGTTTTTTTGCTGCAGGATGGCTACTTTTAGATCTGCAATTGTGTGTCCAGGAAGATTGAAGTGTTCCCCTACAGGTTTTTGTATGTTGCCATTCCTAATATCAGATTTGTGTCCATTGATTCTTTTACGTAGGGACTGTCCTGTTTGGCCGATGTATATAGCAGTGGGGCATTGTTGGCACATGATGGCATATATTACGTTGGTGGATGTGCAGGAGAATGTACCAGTGACAGTATGGCTGGTCTGGTTAGGTCCTGTGATGGTGTTGCTGGTGTATATATGTGGGCAGAGTTGGCACCGAGGTTTGTTGCAAGGATTGGTTCCTGAGTTCGAGTTATTATGGTGCGGTGTGTAGTTGCTGGTGAGAATATGCTTCAGGTTGGCGGGTTGTCTGTGGGCAAGGACCGGCCTACCTCCCAAGGCCTGTGAGAGCGAGGGGTCATTGTCCAGGATGGGCTGAAGATCACTAATGATGCGTTGGAGAGGTTTTAGCTGGGGACTGTAGGTGATGGCCAGTGGTGTTCTGTTGGTTTCTTTCTTGGGCTTGTCCCGTAGCAGGAGGCTTCTGGGTACACGTCTGGCTCTGTCAATCTGTCTCCTCACTTCCTCGTGTGGGTATCGCAGTTTACAGAATGCTTGTTGAAGGTCTTGTAGGTGTAGGTCTCTGTCTGAGGGGTTGGAGCATATGCGGTTGTACCTCAGTGCTTGGCTGTAAACAATGGATCGTGTGGTGTGTCCGGGATGGAAACTGGAGGCATGCAGGTAAGTATAGCGGTCGGTAGGTTTTCTGTATAGGGTGGTATTGATATGACCGTCACTTATTTGTATCGTGGTGTCCAGGAAATGGACCTCCCGTGTAGATTGGTCCATGCTGAGGTTGATGGTGGGGTGGAAGCTGTTGAAATCATGGTGAAATTCTTCCAGAGTCTCCTTCCCATGGGTCCAGATGATGAAGATGTCATCGATGTAGCGTAGGTAGAGAAGGGGTGTAAGTGGACGAGAGCTGAGGAAGCGTTGTTCCAGGTCAGCCATAAAAATGTTGGCGTATTGTGGGGCCATGCGGGTGCCCATAGCAGTGCCACTGGTCTGGAGGTATATGTTGTCACCAAATCTGAAATAGTTGTGTGTGAGGATAAATTCACAGAGTTCAGCCACCAGTTGTGCTGTGGCATCATCAGGGATACTGTTCCTGACGGCTTGTACTCCATCTGCATGTGGGATGTTTGTGTAGAGAGCCTCTACATCCATGGTGGCTAGGATGGTGTTTTCTGGAAGATTACTTATGCATTGTAGTTTTCTCAGGAAATCCGTAGTGTCACGGAGGTAACTTGGAGTGCTGGTGGCGTAGGGTCTGAGTAGAGAGTCCACATAGCCAGATAGTCCTTCAAAAATTAAAAAAGGATGGAAGTCCATGCAAAATATTAACTTAACAGTTTTCTGGGTAAATATTAGAGGATGGAAAGACCAGAGGTAAAAGTAAGTGAGTGCACAGCTCAGTGAGAACTGCAGCAAAAGCAAGCAGTGAGCTATTTAAAGAGCTAACAGGTTGCAATAGGACAGTGGCCTCCAACCTTTTTACACCCAAGATCACTTTTTAAATGTCAGGACAAGCCAAGATCTACCCCATCTGTTCTCCAAGACTCCACCCCTTCCTTGAGGCCCCACCCCCTCTGTTCCACTCCTCTCCATCTCTTGCTGTCCCCAGACCTTACTCACTCTCACTGGGTTGAAACGGGAGGTGTGGGCTCTGAGATGGGAATGAGGGATTTGGGTGTGGGAAGGGGTGAGAGGTGCAAGCTCTGGGAGGAAATCTGGGTGCAGGATGAGGTAGAGAAGGGGATGCTGGCTCAGCGAGGGGGCTCCAGGCTGAGAAGTGTTGGGGTCAGATGAAGGGTTGCGGTACTTAGCAAGCCACAGGCTTGTTGGGGGTGCAGGAGTTTGGGCTGGGGTGCATGAGGGGCTCAGGGCAGGGAGTACGATGGGCTCAGGACACAGATTTGCAGTGTGTGGATGGTGCAGGAGTGCTGTGGCAGAAGACAGGGGATGTGGGGGTGCAGGAGTTTGGGGATGAGAGAGGCTCAGGACAGGGGGTTCCAGTGCATGTCAGGCTCAGGTTTCATCTGGGGGGGGAGGGTGCAGGAGTGTTATGTGATACAAAAAATCATAATTTGTCTCATCTACAGGAATCTGCCAGAATACAGACATTGCAGCTAAAGCAGTAAAATACGTTGCACTATCACCAAAAATGTCTTTCCTGATTGGTAACTGAAGATGTTTCCTTTTGATATATTTGTTAAGCACTTCAAGAGGTAGGCATAATCTTAGTGTTCCATTCTTTTTTCGATGCAAAAAACCAACTGTGGGCCCCTCTACAATCTGAGGTGGGGCCAAAATGAGGGATCCAGTGTGCGGGGCAGGGCTGCCAGTGAGTGGGATAGGGATGGGGGTGCAGAATCTGGGTGGAAAATAGGGTACAGGAGCAAGCTGGTGGTAAGTGTCTGGCCAGAGGGAGGGGGCAGGAGCAGGGTGCTGGTGAGTGTCTGGCCAGGGGTAGGAGCAAGGTACTGGTGGGGGTTTAGGCAGGGGGTAAGTTACTGGTAAGGTTTTGGGCAGGGGGCAGTAGCAGGGTGCTGGTGGGTGTCTGGCCAGGGAAGAGGGGGCAGGAGCACGGTGCTGGTGGGTGCTGGGGTAAGGGGCAGAGTGCTGGGGCAGGGTGCTGGGATAGGAGGCAAGGCGCTGGTGGGGGCAAGAGACAGGCTGCGGGGGCAGGGGGGAAGGGGCTGGGGGGGTGGGGACAGGAGGCAGGGTACTGGTGGGGATTGGGGTAGGGGGCAAGGTGTTTGTCGGTGCTGGGACAGGGTGCTGGTGGGCGCTGGGGAAGGGTACTCATCGGAGTGGGGGTTCTGACCAGGGGGAGGGGACAGGGACAGGGACAGCTCAGCCGGTACCTGGGGATCCTGGAGCTGTGCACCAGGAAGCATGCAGGCTGTTTTCCCCTTCCCTCAACAGTTGGCACGCTTCCTGAAAAGTCTCTCATGCACCAGAGACTTCCTTCCCCCTGCTGCCTTCCTGTGCCGGTGGGGAGAGGGAGTAGGAGTCCCAGGACTGCGCCAGCTCCAACTGCTCAGGAAGCGTTGTTAGGATTGAAAGTTTTATTCTTTTTATATTTCTTATCTTAGGTATAGTAATATAGTAGTAATGTAGCAATAATATAGCAATATAAGGCATATATATTAACATACATTTAATATTTTACAAATTAAGTCCTTTCAGTTGAAGGTCTGTATTCTTTGTTCTGAAGTTTAGTAAATGTTCTAAAGTAGAAAAACAGTTCTGGGTATTGTGGCTGTGTTAATAAGATTAGAGGAATTCTGCTAATGTTGAAGGCCAAGCCTTAATTGCTTGATTTACAATGCCTCTTTTGCTTTGCCATGCAGATCTGTAACCTCGAAAGTTCTTGTGTGTGAAAGGAGTGTGAATGTGTCGAGATAAGATGCAAAGTTATATGGCTTTAGAACCAGATGGCCGATGAAGGGGGGTGAGTGAGCATGGGCAGGCCAGAGGACAAGACAATCTGGCTGCAGAGGAGCCATCTATAACCATCAATGTACCCCCCTATTCACAAGAAGATTGGATAATTAGCGTACTCCCTACTCACAAGAAGATTGGATAATTGGCAGATTGATGACCTTAAAGCGAAGCAAGCACCCGGGAAGGACAATTGATTACAGGATGAGCCTTCGAGAGATGTTTGGGAACACTGACATAAAAAAGATAATGTTCCAGTCATAAGCTAACAGAGCGGAATCCATGGATTTCGACAAGAGAAACAGATTATAAAAAGCAGGGTGCTTTGCTATGGAACTTGGAGTCATCTTCCACTGTCTTGAGAGGAGTATCGGCTCGATCGACCGACAAGGCCCTGCTCCCCCCTATGTTCGATCTAGCTGGCCACTAGATTGACACAGATTCTGGACTGGTAACTATGAATTCATCTGGCATAACTGTGTATGCATGATGTCTTGTGTGTGTGTGATTGAAAAGCATATGCAACTGTTGTATTCTCAATAAATGCGGCGTACTGCCTTTTCCCCCATAAAAGATCTCGTGTGCTTCGTTTAAGCGTAACAGCGTGTGCCCTGCTCCTCTGCTCCCCACAAAATCCGTGCACTTCTTGAGTAGTTGGAGCTGGCGCAGTCCCGGGACTCCTACTCCCCACCCCCTGGCTACATCTACACTGGAGTGATCTTGCGCAAAAACTCTTTTGCGGAAGAGTTCTTCTGCAAAAACTCTTTCAGAAGAGAGTGTCTACACTGGCATGTGCTTTTGCGCAAGAGATGTGCTTTTGTGCAAGAACATCCATGCCAGTGTAGATGCTCTCTTGTGCAAGAAAGCTGTGATGGCCATTTTAACCATAGGGCTTTCTTGCCCAAAAAGTTCATGTTGCCTGTCTACACTGGCCTGTTGCACAAGAACAGTTGCGCAAAAGGACTTATTCCTGTCAAAGTTCTTGCGCAAGAAGCCCTGATTTCATACATTAGAACGTCAGTTTACTTGCGCAAGAACACACGGCCAGTGTAGACAGGCAACAAGTTTTTGCGCAAGTGCAGCTGCTTTTGCGCAAGATCGCGCCAGTGTAGATACAGCCCCTGTGCGCAGCTGCAGAACTTAACCCCCACACTGCAGGAAGCCGGTGCTACCTCCATTGTGAATGGGGGCTGCTTCTTGGGGGTGGGAGGAAATGGGGGGGTCCCGAATGCCTCGCAATCGACTGGTTGGTGACCATGAGCATAGGACATCTGAAGAAGGTTCCCGGTTATCTGAAGAAGTGGGTTGTGCCCACAAAAGCTCATGATACCATCTTCATGTTTTGTTAGTCTTTAAGGTGTACTACTAGACTATTTGTTTTTTAAGTTTTTGCGATAGGACAGTACCTTAAGAAATTTAAATTCCTTTTACCCCTTGGGAAGATAGAAAAAAAATCAGAGAATTGAAAGCAAAAGCAATTTATTGTTTTGCTTTATTTTGTGAACTGTGCATTAACGGTAAGCTTGAAAGTTGGTCCAATAAAAATATTCCCACACCCACCTTGTTTAACAATACTCACACATATAAGGTGCGTCTAGACTGGCAAGTGCTTTTGCGCAAAAATTTGCCAGCTGTCTACACTGGCTGCTTGAATTTGCACAAGAGCACTGACTTTGTAATGTTCAAAATCAGTGCTTCTTGCGCAAATACTTTCATGCTCCCGCTCGAGAAAAATCCCTCTTGCGCAAGAGGGCCAGTGTAGACAGGGAAGAACTGTTTTGTGCAAAAAAGCCCCGATGGCTAAAATGGCGATCGGGGCTTCCTTGCGCAAAATCGCGTCTAGATTGGCACGGATGCTTTTGTGCAAAAGCACTTTTTGTGCAAAAGCATCCGTGCCAATCTAGACACACTTTTGCGGAAATAATTTTAACGGAAAAATTTTTCCATTAAAAGTATTTCTGCAAAATCATGCCAGTCTAGACACAGCCCTAGTGTCTCCCAAACCCAGGCAAGTGCCCTGGCCACTAGCATAGACACATGCACCCCAAAACCTTTTTGCGTGCTTACCCGTAGCTATAATTTGTTATGGATATTAGGTTGCAGACATGCTCTTAACATGCCCATAAGTTCAGGACCAGATAGTGAAAGAGGCAGGAGAATGCCTCATTTAAAAATTCACCTCCAGGCCACCTGAGTTATATTTTATTTGATCTGGGGCTCCAAGCAACTTTGTTGGCTTTGGAGCAGCAATAGGGCTAAGCTGGCTTTGTCAACAACAGTAACTTGAGTAGCTTTTCGGTACCACATCAGTGGTCCCTAACTGGTGAATTTAGCAGCCTAAAGAGGCAAATAGGAAGTTAGGAGCTAAATACTTTTAGGAATCTGGTCCTTGATAAGTAAGCTAAGTGTTCTTAGGCAGCTCTGTGTGATCCCATGTCATTTTATATCTGTTTAATTGTATTACAACTTCACTAGTACTCTATAAAAGGTATAAGATTTCCATTTCATCTGTAAACTTTATGGATAGCATTTCCGAAGGGGCGCTCACCGTGCGCCATGCTCCCAGGGCCGGCTCCGGCACCATGCGTGCGCCACGTGCCCAGGGCCAGGCCAGCCCCGAGCACTTGGCGGGCGCACACGAATGCCCCCGCAGGCGCCATGGCGCCCACGGGCACTGTGTTGGGGACCACTGTTCTATTACATTGCCTAACTTTGGCAAACCATCTCACATTTACACCTAATTTATTAACATAAAAATGTACCTAAGATGAATTTTTTGGAATCAGTATGCTCATGTATAAACAATGAGAAGTCCTGTGGCACCTTATAGACTAAGAGATTTATTGGAACATAAGCTTTCATGGGCAAAGACCCACTTCATCCAATAAATCTGTTAGTCTATAAGGTGCCACAGGTTTCCTTGTTGCTCACGCAGATTCAGACTGACACGGCTACCCTCTGATACTACTGTCATGTACTGAAAGATCCAAAATTCTGGTTGAAATCAGCAAAAACTGCAGCATGTGCAAAACCTGGGATTCTTTCAGCAAAAACTGAAAAGAAAGGGCCTTCAGCATGTCAATTACACTAGAACAGTGGCCACCAACCAGATGATCAGGATCTACTGGTAGATCTTGGAGCCTCTGACAGGTGATCTTGACTGGTTTGGCTCTCAATTGGCAGTTCTTCAACTGCTCCTCACCTGACTGCCATGCTGCTCCTGCCCAGGGCTGCCCCCTAGGAGCCTCCTGCTTGTTGTGCAGGATGTGGGAGATAGAATTATGGGGGCACTGTTGTCACACTGCCCGCCTCCCACGTACCCCATCTTCACTGAATGAGGAGGGTGGGGTCTCCGTGAAGGGGTGGGGCAGGAGTATTTGGGTTTGAAGTAAATCCTGGATTGACAAATTCAAAACCAACTAATGCTCTGGTAGCTCTTTATAAACTAACAAAGCATGTAGACGATGCCATCTATATGTTTTGTTAATCTATAAAGTGCTACCAGACCATTTGTTGGTTTTTAAGTTTATTCCGTACAGACTAACTCCGCTACCCCAGCTTAAATTCAAAAAGTGATCTCCTGCTTTGAAAGGCTGGAGACCACTGCACTAGAAGTAGTTGCAACAGGGTGTGAGCTATTGGTTACATTACATAGTAGAAGCAGTCGTGCTGGGAGCGGTTTCCCTGGGATCAGCTGCACGGAGGTATTACAGAGTAGGCAGACTTGCGTTTAAAGATAGAGATGACGCTGCGATCGGTGGTTTCAGAGACAGCTTTGTTTGATTGTCTTTGTGTAGGCTGCTTGCCGCGAGAGTAAGCATGACGCATGCGCACATGCTGGTTTCCGCCCCCTGACGCTTACAGCTCTCTCGGGAAGTCCCATTCGACCCTGCCTTCTACGGTCAGTTGGCAGTGACGTCACCCACAGGCGGGGCGGGGCTTAGCTTTGAATTGTCGCGGGGCACAGCTTCTCTGGCAGAGCCGCGCGATGGGGACGGTGGAACCCGCGGCTGAGGAGGGGGGCGCTGCGCGCGTGAAGCGCATCGCGGTGCCCCAGCCGCCCTCCATCGAAGACTTCGCCATCGTGAAGCCCATCAGCCGCGGCGCCTTCGGGAAGGTCTATCTGGGCCGCAAGGGGGGGAAGCTCTACGCCGTCAAGGTGAGAGTGGCGGGGGGGGGGCGCGG